TGTGCACCTTTCACACCTGATATTTTGGTGCAGACTAAACTGAAAAGCCTGAAGGTCCAGATGAAACTTGGCAGGATCCAACTCACCCCAACTGCTGTCTGTCGTCACATAAACAAGTCTGTTCCTGGCAGTGTAAAGGTGACTGTGTCAGTTGTCGACTATTTCTATAATAAACTGACATCAAAGCAGGAAAAACATTTAGAGTTCTCTCTTCTCAGGAAGAAAAGATGCAGCTTCACATTTCCAGTATCTCATTGGATATTAAAACACAGTTTCTTGTCCATAACATTGCCTGAGAGGTTGTTGATTTCCACCAGCTCAATTTCCTCTCCCTTAATAACAGTCATCGCAGCAGCAGAGGACGACTTTATAAAATCAATTCTCATTGCCCTTAGTTTTTGCTACATTTAGCAGAATGAAGGACCTGTCACACCATGACACCAAGTCCTCCTCCACAGGCTGGCGATCTTAATCCACCCAATCAAACCCATGTAGGCTGACTAACAACCATATCATCATACATTTTATAGGTGTCTGCTCTCATCATAACTTAAGAGGACCTAGTGGGGATCCAAAGAGGGATTCTATTTAAAGGAAGACTCAACGTCACCTGGAAGTCAACGTGACCTGTTGGCTTAAGAAGTGCATAGTGGTGTGCTATATGTACTGTCTATTATTATATCTTAATTATTGATTTAATGATATGCAAGCTGACATAGTAGAAAGTCTGTCACACACTTTGCAAAAGGAGACAACCCTTCAGAGTCCTCATATTCACCGTGCCATGTAGCCTAGCAAGACAGACTTCTGAACATGTCCACTGAGAGAGCATGCAGTGTGCTAGTACAGGACCACAAGGTCAGTGCTGAAGTTAAAAATATGCACATAAATAGCAACAGTCAAAAATTAGTGATCATGCAATAAACCTGGTTGGATTAAATGACAGATATGGATCATCCTCGCTGCAGAGAATGCTCAGTAACCAGTTTGTTTGTCATCCTACAAACTAACCACCACACAGTCCTAAACCAGCCGAGGAACCAGAACAAAAGCACACTCAGCAATCTTTAGAGGAATCATTCTGCCAACAAGCCATTAAGAGTGATGTTTTCAAAAAACTTTACAACTGTAGACACAGGATAGAAAAACTAATATTGTCTGCACACCAGTCCTAATGGTGCACAGGGTGTTGTGCACGTCTGAAGTAGTTTGCCTCGTAATCCAGCAGAGGGTGCTCAATATCAGCTTGACCTATTGGATGTCCTCTCGACCAGTAACGTAAATCGATAAGGTCAGGCTGTTTTCTCTCCTTGTACCATGCTGCTGTATTCTTCAACAGAAACAAATCTGTTAGCAGAAGCTCACGCATCATGTCAAATTAGTCAAACTAGATGAAAAAGTGACAGCCCTAGCTGCTCATCACTATGAGTGCACACCCGACTCGCCTAGCTCGACATGAGGTCAGGGGAGAGCAACAAGCCATAAATCTGCCTACAGCACCTCTAAAGCTCACTTATTAACATGTCCAGTAAACAGTGCCAGGTTAGCTGCTTCTCCCATGTTTCCAGTTTTAATTCTAAACTATGCTAACCAGCTGATCTATGATCTATAATCTAGTCTATGATCTTATTATTATTATTATTTTAGAGTGGAGGCAATCTAACTTTTTTAGTGCATATATATTTAAAATCCAGTCTGTTGGTAAAACGTTGTGGTTCTTTCTTCAAGTAGAGTGTTTGCTGGTCAACATCTATAGTTCATCACCACTTCTATAGTGTACATTTTAGATGAGGTCATTAAGCATTCATCTATAAACCTAGACAATTCTCTCTCCTTGTTTTCCTCAGTGAATTACTTTCAGACAGTGACCCTCTGAATGTAGTTTTTATGAGACACAAACCACCAATTTACCATATACTCATTATTTTTCTCTGTTCCACCACTGTCCAGCTCCCCATAAACAACAGGATGTACTGTACCACTGGGGCTGCCCAGTCATATAATGTACTCATTTAATAATGCAGTGTTGGTTTAATATCATTTTGGGATTGCAATGAACTCATACTTTGTTCTGTGCCTGTTTAAAATCCTGAACATGTAACATGCCATGTTGTTAGATGGTATATATGATTAACTGTTACTGAAAGTGTTTCATTTTAGTGGGGGACAATTCTGCTTGTGAAATTACAGCCATATAGTTCCACACACAACAAACATTTCATACACACACACACACACACACACACACACACACAAAGCATGTCTGCAGCTGCGGATAAATAAGCTATGGAAGGCATTAATGCATAGGGGGGTAATATAAATATTCAGATACAAGCAGAAGGCCTCATGTTGTTCGACTTAATGGAAAGCAAATATACATTATGTCCCTATCAGAGCAGAGATGAATAGAGAGAGGGATGTGTCAGTGGAGAGAGGAGGAGAGAGATTATGTGCCTGTATGTTCAGGTGCTCATGAACATAAAGTGAAAATAATCACAGTTTAAATTCTCTCCTGCAGAGTCACACCCAATGAAAACTTCTTTCTCAGGCAGTCAACACAATTTGTCTTATTATTGCTGAGATACAAAATGATGGATTCAGTCTGTAATTCACTTTCTCTTGCATTCATTTTTGGAGCTTTACGGACAAAAAAGCTCCTGTTACAATGGACGGCGTATTAAAGAGTGAAAAAGCAGAGGTAGAAATATGGATGGAGAGCAATCATGAACCTCACAACCACCGCTTGGACAAAAGAATCCCTAAAATTGTAGACAATTTCAAATTGATCACCATGTGACACATCCGCAGCAACACAAGTGAGAAAATTGTTGTTGCAGTGCTTCAGGTTATTTGCTCTGATCCAGACATAATTGTGTTGTTTGATTTCATTTGACATGACGCAAAAAAAAAGCTGCCTCTTGTGCTGGACATACTGTGCATGTCAACTGTTGCTGCATCTCAAGAACACATTTTGCCCAGAATAAACAAACCATTCTCATATGCTGGAAAACTATGTGGCCTCAGGTTTTCTCTCCGTCAGTTCATTTATGGTCATTTAAACAAAAAGTATTTTGATGACATGTACTTTTACTATCCAATATTTTCCATCAATGGTCAAACCCAGATAAATCCCCAATTTAATTTGTAAAACGTAACAGGAGGTTTCATTTTGGTGGCCTTTTATTTGCATGATATGTGCGTTACTCCTGGATTTGACCTCCTCTGCTGTAAATTCAGATTTCATGGTGAAGGAAAAACATACTGTAAGCCAGTTACAGCCAGTCAGCTGTGTCTTCCTTCCGCGTTTGTCACTCGGAATGGACCACGATTCGTTTAAGTACTGGATGCTTATAGAAACCAATCACAATCATTTCAGTTGACTTTTGTTCTAATGGGGCATATTCCTATATTATTTGCAATTAATCAAAGCACCACACCATGAAAGGAACCTGCAGATTTTAAGGGGGCCCCAGGAAGTCTGGAGTAGTTGCCCGATTTACATGCTTGCTAATGCAGCCTCATCTCCCGGGGTTAATTTTACACCATCTGAAACTGAATTACATGCGCGCACACACACACACACACACAAACAAATATATGCCCTCCTCCTCCACCTACCACACAAACATACACAAACAGCTCAGATAAACTTATCAGCATTTGCAAAGTGACTTAGGGTCTATTTTTGATACAGTCTATTTTGGGCCAGGCTATTAGAACAGAGTAGCATAGTGCATTCATTGAACTCTCTCTCTCTCATGCACACACACACACACACACACACACACA